CCTGTAGGAAAATTTAAATTATACTTCTCTTTGCTGCATATTGACACTGGGTTAATTTTTCTTGCAGGTAGTGGGCGATGATGATGAACAGCCTTCCGTGTGCAAACTCGCAACCAAGAGAGTGTACGTGTTATGTGGACCAAGGTGAAGAATGTGGGCTTTTTTGGTGGTCCACTAACACTATTGGGCTAGTGCTATTTGTGACATTTGTATTATTGTTTATTATTTTACTTGAGCTGCTTAAGTGTCTTTCACTTATTGGTAGCCAAGTGTGTCACTTGGATTGTGCTAGTTTAGAATCATTTTTTGCCCTTGGATGAGATCTACAGTTGGGTTTTATTCTTGTGAGATATTTGTCTTGGGCTTCTACTTTTCAGCTTAATTCGGGTTCCTTCCTTGAGACTTTTCTTCTCTTCTCTCTCTGTTGGGTTCGTCTCTTCATTCAGTTTCTACCGTCTCCTTAACCCGTTGTTGAAAGAATCTTGTGTAACATTTAGGCTTGAAATCGTAGCTGAATGGTGTTGGTTTCTCGCAAGGGTTAGATTGTATTTAGGGCTTGAATGTTGGCTGCTAATGGTAGATCTATTGATCGATTATCCAAGCCACATATTGAGTGATTCTGGCCGTTTATAAATCTCTCTCTGGAAGGCGATTTGCAAACGTGGAAGGGGCTGTTCCTGAGCCTACCATTTCAGGACGGAAAGGGAAGTAGTTTTCGGTTTACTGCTTTTGTTCTCTATGTTTTTCTGTTGTGCTTTATGAAAATGTTACTCTGTATTGTGAACTGGAGATTGTTACTATAAATTCCTAACACAAACAATTTTTCATCTATATAAAAATATTACCAAACATTAGGATTTCTCGTTAACTTGCCCATATGTCCACCTTCTCGTTTATAAGTTCTCTCTGAAATAAATCCCACATCTAAGCCACAAAAAGAAGAAAAAGAGAGAGAGAGAGAGGAGTCAACAGTTGTACCATCAAAATTAACGGTAAGATCTTGATACCTAGTCCTTCATCTACCTCAGGGGCTCTATATGCAGGTGTAGTGTGTCCTGATATTATCTTCCTCGATTCCCATTTCTTCAGGTTTCTCTAAGTGTGTATGATTGGTAGATGTACTACCAGAATCACACAACTTCTATAATCCATCAGATCCCAGCAAAAGATTCTCTGCCTTCAAATCTCTGTATAACACA